TTTTGCGGAATAGTACCTGAAGGTCCCTCTAACACATATACATATATATATTATATATATCTAACATAGTGTATATATACATATGATGTTCAACAAAACAGCAGGTGTGTGTGTGATGTGTATGTATATAGATGTGTAGATATAATGTGTATATATATATGTGGGTAGATACAAATATATATATATATATATAGCTATATATGTGTGTAGATATATATATATATAGCGGTGATATTCCTGCAACAACATCAAATCATGACACAACAACAGCACCTGAATTGCCCCACCTTGCATGGCGATTGGGCCAGGCTAGCTATTGGCAAACCCGGCACTGTCAACCTACCCGATCGCCGTCTGAGACCAATGGCCAAAGCGGCAGTTGACATGGGTTTGGTGAGTTCAGCCCGTCCCAATCCACAATTCATAAGGTTGTTTGCACCTTCCTGCCTAATGCCTTGGATGGCAATGGGCTTGTCTGTCGTTCAGTTCCGAAACCGAAACATGCTTATATACAATCTGCAACGTTTGTCTTCTCTCAACACAGCAAAGGATCATCCTTTTCTCAGCAGCTCCACCTTTTCTCAAGGTAAATCCTGGAGGCGCTCCACATCGGCTCGGCGGATTCTTTCCGCTATCTCCTCCGACAGCCAAAGCAAACTGGGAACTGAGCTAGCTGCGAAGCCCAGAGATGTTTTGGTCAAACATGATGATGTGAGCTGACTGCTTTGAGACCATGGGCGTAAATTGAACAAGAGAACAAGAGTGCCTCTTGCCAGAGGCTGCAATTCATCTGCCTGACAAACAGCGCTGCACTTCTTGGCTAAGAGTCGCTTAAATGAAAGTATGGTGACGGACTGAAACTTACAAGGCTGGCATGTTTTCCAACGTTTAGGATTTGAATGCTGGCATTCTAAGTTGCAGTCCGTCGCTGATAATCCATGTGATGATGCACTGCTGAGCAGCATCCACTTGAAGAATTGTTGAGGCAATCCACCCAAAATGGTCCCACATGCTAAGTTTAGTGATGCACCGGTAGATTGACTGCAGTCAGTGAAAAGTCACCAAAAATGATAAAATTCAGGTGTTCTCATACGCTACACTGCATTCTCATACGCAGAAAATTACAGGTAAGTATGTGGCAGTAAAAAAACATGCCGTCAAGAGGGGCCGGGAACTTTTTAAGCCCTATACATAAGATGAATTTGATTCAACTGCTACAAGCGGAGTGATAACAAGTATACTGTTATGGGTGTACCTGCGTGAAGGGTCAACACGACTTGTTTGTTAAACTTGTTCAAGCTACAGTAGAAACATCTGCGAACTGCATCATGACCTAGGTTTGTCTACACTGTTGAGAAAGCAGGATGTATGTGTGTGTTGCGCGTGCCACACTCCGTTTCTAGGCGTTTCGTTTTGACGCAGGGGCGTGTGACACTCTTATCCTATCACACGCAACGAAGCTGTGGATAAGAGTGGGAAAGGAAACTTGGCCATTTTCCTGTACCTGCGATTTGAACTGTTGAACCCCTCCGCTGTTTCTTTGTTTTCATGGTTGTTTGCATGATACCTCCCAAACCCTTTCTGCCGCGTTTGCAGCCGATCACCGCCCCGTTCCGCAGTCAAGTGCAACATGGTTGAACACTTCAGTTGAGCTGACTTTTCCGTTCCACCATCCCTTTCATCGTGGATTATCTTACTGGATGAACCTGTGACTAAGTGTGTGGAGGGTTGCGTGTGTGTGTGTGTAACCCTTAGAATCAAAGGGGACCTTAAGGTTTGGAACAGGGGGGACGGGTCACCTCTGGCATTTCCCGTCCAACGAAGAGGATGCCAGCAAGCGCTGATACAGTGGGGGACGCCCCACTGTGTACCTGTTCCACTACTTAGGAGAACAGGAGGAAATGGTACTCGACACACTTGTGCGTCGGTGCCTTTCCTTCTGTTCTCCTCTAGACTACCCTATATGGGTTGCAGGTAGGCCTCCAAACTTTGTAAGGGGTTCTTTAACCTGAACTTTGGCCTCCACCCACTAGAATGGACCCCCAACTTTTGCTGTTTTGCTGTCTTGTTTGTCTTGTGCTTCTTGTCACCTACTAGCGATGGCCCCCAACCTGCCTTCGACGGCCTCCAACCTAAGAGCGAAGACCTCCAACT